ATATATATATATATATATATACATGAAAATAAATTGTACATTAAAAATTTTACAATATAAATTTTAACCTTTCGTTTTGGTATAAAATGCTCTCTCTTGCACTAAGTAGAAAACATTTAATAAGCGCAAATAGCTGAATTTATTTAAGCATGTAATATAAAAAATTATATTTAATTTAGAAAAGATGTGTTAAAATCAGCTAACAAATTTTGCACATTTCATAAAAACAATTATTTTAAAACAAAATATGTTACTAACAATGCATTTTTCGTGTAATATTTCTAGAACCAAATATATCACATAGTGGGATTCATCTTCTAATTTTAAACTCTAAGCTCCTGTTGCTAAATAAATACAACATATCAAGACACAATTCCATATATATATATATATATATTATAATGCCTAATATGAGCTTAAATGTGGCAATAGAAGGATGCGCGAATGATTCGTTAAACGGATTTAGTCATTTGTTCATAATGAAATTAGTTACTATGATCTCATTAGTTAGTTCATTAATCATAATTAGTTTTATTAGTCATCTATTATTTGCACTAAAAGTTGTATTAAGAACTGTTTTTTTATTTTGAAGGTGCTGGAGCGTCGTTCTGGAGCTGAGCCATTAGTTGCCGAACCCACTTCCAATATTAAGTTACACATAGGAGAGGATATTCGAGTAAGTTACAGTATTCAAAAGGTCCATTTTAATATATAAATACACTGAGGGAAAAAAATTGTTATCAAAACTTCCGGAATATGATAAAATGTACCGAGTTTTCTGACTCTGTAGTACCATTGAAATGTATAATTTTTATCACAGCGCTTTGATAAAGACATTTGGTAAAATAACATTATTACAAATAAAATATAGCTTTATTTAAAGTTGATTGGTAGTAAATGTGGTGAAATTTGGTAATTTTATCAAAAGATTAGGTAATTTGAATTCGAAATTCAGAAAATCTGCACGATGACAAAAATATACTTATATTGCCAAATTCATACGGCTAAAATTCGCAAATTACCAGACGCTGTTACTCTGCTAGACAACTTTTTATATGAGTTGTTATTGCTAGTTATCTTAACCAGTGGTTTCCAATTTCTTTCGGCTCTGGAACCCTAAATGATCAACCCTCTTTCTGCGGAACTGAAAAAAAATATTAATTCCTGAACGAAAATTATAAAGACAATGCATGTATTAACTAAAGAACTAACTTTATATTGAAAATTTTTTTTCCATCGTTTTATCATTCATAGTTAATTTAGGCTTTTTTATTTAATTTTTTTTAATTTTTTATTGACATTTGAATTAGCAGTCCTGAAACTAATCCAATTATGACTTTGCTTTTTGTGTCTAAATACCGAAGCTGAAAATGAGTAAATTAAACTAAGTTATGATGTTCGTTGGAATGAAAAAGAAAAAGAAATACCGATGACGTTGAAAGTAACAACTAAAACATTAAAAGGAGATTTGAGGAAAAAATATATATTTAGTAACGGATTTAGCTTTTTCATTTTGATTTTAAAAGCATTATGGGAAATACTAATGAAATTTTTTATAAATGCATGCTATTAGAAATTTAATTAAAAAAGTATTGTTATTAGACATTTTTATTAAGAAAATTATTATTCTTTTTATTAACATTTAATTAATTTCACCGAAATATTAAATAAAGAATGGCTTATTAATTGGATCTAAATATAATAACAGATTTCAAACATATTTAAAAAATTTATTTGACTAAATAAAAGTCTCTCCGAGCTTCTCTAACTGTACCACGGAGCCCTAGGATTCTTTGGAACACTATTTATCTAAACATTTAAAAAAAATTTTTGTGGCATTTTTTGTTGCAATTGAAAAATAACATAACATATTTGTTTGTTCCTAAGACCTGAGGATTTGACTAACTGAATTTATAAATTAACATTTTTATTGAAGTTTTAAGCTAAATTTCCAGTCAAACGGAAAGTACTTAATTTAAAAGAATAAAATAAAAATAGCTATTAAGTATTCCCCCCCTCCTCGATTGTTAACCTTTTAACCTGAATATATATCCTTGCGCAAACCGTTTTGAAAGAGATTTGGTTGTGTTTCCCGTGCATTATTATCTTCATTTAGTAAGGCGTGGCACATAAAATATCCGGTATTTAAAAAAATGACAATAGTAAGCTTTCATTGAGAGATCAGACTGGAAACACAAAAAAGCATAAAAAATGATAATATATTGCTTTGAAAAAGAAGAAAAAAAAAAAAAAGATCTTGTAAACAAGGGGGTTATATGTGCGTGACACAACTCAGTAACTGCAACCGCAATTGCTTGTCCGAATCCTTTCTCTTTCTTTACTTACCAGATGGAAATAGAGCGAAGAGTTGACGAACAAAATGGCGTTAGGTAGACAAGGGAAGAAGTAGGACGTAATCGTCGTTTCAACATGGACGTTTACTAGCGATTTTCTTGTCATGCAAATAAAATGAGAATGATTTCATTCGTAAAATAAACAATAATAATTAGGCAAGAAGATTTTATTGAGTTTTTTTCTTCCCTATAGTGAAAAATCGTAAGAATTTCCTATATTGAAAGATCGTTGCTTTAGGCGCAAACTTAACGTTACATTCTGTTTTGCTAAGCAAAAAGTATAAGAATTAGAATGTTGAAATTACGAAGATTTGTAGAAAAACACGCAATGAAATAAATTATAAATTAAGATTCGGTTTTTAGTTCGAGAGTTATCTACTGCTAAATTTGTAGGAAAAAGTGACGTAGGATTGGACGAAGGAGTTTTGACTTGCTGAAACGATCCTTTTTGCTTATTAACTTAACCTGAGCTTAGTTTGGAATTCTAATTCATTTGAAAGTTATAGCAATTTTAAATGCTCTTTAAACAATTTTTTCTCATTTTTTTTGCTTGACTTTACAATTTGTTTGCTGCGAAAAATCAATAAGATTTCACTGAAAATTACGAATGGGAGTAGAAAAATTTGCAGGGCATTTAATGGAATTAAAAAAAATCAAATTCAATTGTTAGATCTAGAACTATCAACTATTAAACTTGTAGGAAAAGATACCATGCTAGTCAATCTACTGACCACTGAGATGCAACTTACTGAGTTGAAATTTGAAAGTTCCTTTTTTAATGACAAAGTTAACGTGAGTGTTTTATTCCTAAAATTTCAATTTGCTTGAAAGTTACAATAATTTTAAGGGCTTTTTTTCATGAATTTCTTTCGCTTTTTATGCCTTAAATAATGATTATTTATAGATTATTGCTGAATAGTTTATCTCACTCAAGATTTTCATTTTATAAGCTCGTGCTTGACTTGTATCAAAAGAAACAAAAATGAATCAATGAATAAAAAAAATAAGATAGAGATTAGATGTTACATAAATAAACCGTAACATTCATATTGAATTTTTTGAAGACATTAAAGTCTCAAAACTGTTAAAAAACAGCCTCGATTTGAACTGTCGTAAAATATAATGTTATCGCTGTAATGTTATCACTGTAATATAATGTATTTATTGCTTTGCGTTATGTAACATATTCTATAGTCAGAAGTTTAAATTTTTTTTTCTAATTGATTATTTTTTAAATCCAAGTAATCGCTCATTTTGTTGCAATTAACATATTAACAACATTTTTTTTATAAAAATTATAATAATTAACATGTTATAAACAAAATGATATTATTTTTGTTTTATTTTATAACCGTCGTTGAACAGCCGACCCAATTTTAAGTTTACGACTACCAATGTTCAATTCCGCAGTCTTGTAATTTTGAATCCAATTTTCAACACAAGTATTAAGATAAATGTTTTTTTTTTATGGAAATTACCCGCATTTGCCTTATATGGGGAGGAAAACCACGAAGATATCCTGCAGTTAGCCCGACGGCAAGGGGACTCTAACCCATGATCCGTCTACCACTGAGGATATTTTAAATCAAAACTGAGTTCGGTGCGAGCCGGATTCATAATCGCAGAATTCGTATCGATCAGGCAGGCAATGCTGGGCTTCGAACCCGGCTCACCTCATTGGGCGGTGAACACTCTATTCCTGAGCTACCACGACTCGATCTTCTGTTTTACAAAATATTGTCTTTTAAAGAAAAAATAAGAAAATTTCTTCACGGGGGTTGGTTAGCGGAACAAACTCAGGGCAGAACCTTCTTATTTAAATGCATTTTCATTAAATAGGAACTTTATCTTATAGTGATTGTGTATGTTAATTTCGTCCCCCTTCAAATTGGACTTCTGCCCCTCCCACGTCCTAAACTAATGATTTTGACTTTATATTATATCGTACTAACTCTACTAACTCTTATGTGTATCATAATCAGCGTCCGAGATAAGCATTCGCCTCCTCGCCAAACGCGATAAAATCGCTAATTTGGCAAATAAAATTGTGTTTTGGTGAAAGTATTGGTGAATGATTTTTTCCACGACAAAGAAATTAAAATTACGTCAAAAAAATTACGTCAAAATGAATATTTCTAAACAAATCAGTATTTTTTATTCGATTACAGTTATTATCGGTAGACGTGCCTTATAACCAATTAGAATTAGGTCCAAATAATATAAGCCTGAAACTAGCTAACGTAAAATAGTTTTCTATGGGAAAAAAATTAATTATATAAAATTGTTAAGATTTGTATTTGGGGAAGACTTTTGAAAATTAGCGAATACTTTTGATATTTGGCTAACTTACTGGCTAATAATTTTAAATCCTTAGGGCAGGCCCAGATATCTTACTATAATTACATATATTAGTGCTACCGAATACCACAATTGGTGTCAGGTACTTTACACCAAGTAGAGTAAAAGAACATTTTTGGTGTTTCACTACATCGGGAGGTGTAGTGAATTTGATGAAACACCAAAAACAAGGGTTATCTGTGGTTTTTTTTTCATAACAAAGGTATTGGGGTGTAAAGTACTTGCCAAAATGTTTGACGTTTACATGCATTAATATTTTGTACTCTGTACAATGTGCAAAAAAAAAAAAATCAAATAAATGGACCATCCTGAATAACTTTTGATCTAATGATCGGATGTTCACGTTCTAAGACTCAATCTTAATTGACTCGAGAGGGTGACCTCAAATATGCAAATTAATTAGTGCAGGCTACATTTTAAGTTACGAAATCAGACACAAAAACGTACTTTCTCTGAATAAACATGCCTTTTCTCCACGGATTTGGATTTCTGACCCCCAAAGTACAGGGAGTAGCCGCAATTTGGAAAATACGCTCCCAATAATTTGGTCAAGATAGCTCTCCAAAATTTAAACCCTCAATATTAATTTTACTTTTTGCGCATTTCGACATATTTCAGGAAATTTAAAAGCGGATTGAAATTTTTTTGCACATAATTATGAAAATCATTTATCCAAAGATTGCATAAAATAACTTATAGTAAATACAGTGAATTCGCGATAACTCGAATCTGATAGGACTGACGAAAAACTTCGACATATCGGAAGTTCGACTTGCCGTTAGTTTCGGTTTTGGACTTTCAAAATATTGTCGGATTATTTAATTAATGCTTATTAATTACAAATCTTCTAAATGCTTACAATATTTAAGATCATTTTTCTGACAAGCCATTTACGATAAGACTGTTTGAAGCACTTTATGATACCCTGGTCCATCGGCTGCAACTTTGCTGTTGTGTTTGGCGGGAGAAACTGCAAGTTTACTGCTTTCAAATTAGGTAGATCACTATGCGCTGTGCATTTATCCATAAAGAGTATCACTTTTCTTTTTTTAGCGAAGAATTTCCGATCCAATTTTCTTACATAGTCTTCAAATAAAACTGATGTCATCCAAAACTTTTTGTTAGACTTGTAATCCAAAGGATACGTTTTTACATTCTTGAAACATCGGGGATTTCGGTATTTTCCGATAACAAGTAAGGGCAATTTCTCTGTCCCAGACGCATTTCCTCCAACTAGGACAGTCAAACGTTCCTTGCTCATTTTACCCCCTGAGCAGTTTTCATCCTTAAACATCATAGTCTTATTTGGAAGACATTTAAAAAATAAACCCATTTCATCAATATTGAAAACATCATTTTAACTGTATCCTTGAAGTAAATTTGGTAACGTTTCATTTAACCACTGTTCACATACTTCAAGAGGGACAGCTTTAGCTTCTCCATGAAGAGTGCGAAAGACATTGTGTGTGTGTTGCAAAGGAAGGGGCAATATATCAGCTCCCAGGTTTTTCTTTTTGCTTTAAAAGATCCAAAAAAAATCGAGTTAAAGGGAGTAAAATTCGAGTAATCGAGAATAATTAATATGAAATTGAAGATAAAAGGGATGGGACTTCATAAAAAAATCGAGTTATAGTAATATTCGAGTTATCGTACTTCGAGTTATAGCGAATTGACTGTATTTATTATTTTATTTAATATTGGTAAAAATAATTTTGAATTGGGAGGTATACGATTTCTTAAATCATTTTAAAGAATGTAATTTTACATGGCAAAATAAAAACTTTGAATGAAATTGGTCAAATAGCTCCTGAGAAATCGAATTTTTAAAATACGACTTTTCGGAAATTCGCTTCCTCAAGAACTATTGGACCAATTTCACTCAAATTTTGTATTTTGAAAGGTAAAATTAAACGATGAAAAAATAATAAATATACTTTATAATTCAAATTTTTTTCGACTAATATTAAATAAAATATTAAAAAATATTAAATATTTACTGAAAATTATTTTTTGCATGGAATTGTCCTTGGATAAATGAATTTTAGAATTGTGTGCATAAGGTTTTCTGTTAGCCTTTAAATTTCTGAGAGATAATGGCGAAATACGCAAAAAGCAAAATTAACATTAAGGGGTTCAAATTTTGGAGCGCTATCCTGACCGAACTATTGGGACCAAATTTTTAAAATTGTGACTACCCCTGTAATTTGAGGGTTAGAAATCTGAATCCGTTGAAAAAAATGCATGTTTATTCAGAAAAAGTACGTTTTTGTGTCTGATTTCGTAACTTAAAATATCGTCTGCATTAATTAATTGCCATATTTGAGATCACCGCCTTGAACCATTAAGAATGGGCCCTAGAACGCAAAGATCTGATAGTTAGATTAAAAGCTATTCAGGCTGTTTTGTTTCTTATTTTACGCACTGTACAAAAGTCATAACATCAGTTTGAAACCTCCTGTAACAGTTTAATCCAGAGCTAATATTAAAAATATTACACATATTTATCTTTCGAGAATACATTTTTTCAGGGAGGCATGGATCTTTCAGATGAAGTTCAAAATTTGTCCTCTTAAATATTTCACAAGTCTATGATCACGTGTCCACTTTATAATACAAAATAGCTTCTAGATATTTATTTTCTTTTTTCAGAAAGTCAAGAACAAAAAACATCTGAATTGCTTGGTTGAAAGAGAAGAACGTATTCTAAATGCTATTCCCGAAGTAAGTTGGTGATAATGTATAGAAAGACGAAAATTGTTTTCTTTTTCTTCTAATTTTTTTAGGGAGATTTCGCAATTTTAAGTTAGCTTCTGTTACGCCCCCGTAGGTAAAATTCAAATAATTGCGCATGCGTCGCTCTGGGGAAATGCTCATGCGCCCGTGAAAAAATATCAGATTAGCATAAGTGGAAATAAAAGATTTGCCGTAAAAAGATTCCGTAAGTTAAAAACGCTAGCACAGTTAAATATCATTTTAACTTTGCAATGGACATTTACAATGGACGTAGACTATCTCTTTAATGCTTTGGGATACGATTCAAGATGATTTACTCTATGAAAAACAGCAGATCTGTGAGCAGGAAAATTTTGTAGATTACAGAATTTGATGAATTCAGCGATAAGGAATGCAGCTTATTATTATTAACATTTAAAGAAATATATTATTGAACTTCTATTGATTATTTAACTTCTGTTAACTAAATTGTATAGTTAAAATAAATATAATTTATAATTTTGAAAAAGCGAAAATTTATTTAGTTTTTTATGGAACTAGTGCAATTAGACAAACATAATATTAAATAAAAACCAATAAAATTATTTACTTATGGAATAAACGAATATTTGTAAGATTACGCAATTCATTTCTAAATTTCATCCATATATTTCTACCAATTCGCATTCCCTGTCTACATTATTGTTAAAAAATACTTCATAAGTTAGACATTATATTAACTATGAGTTTTCGATGAACTTGTTAAATAATTCCACGCTAGTCCTTCTCTCCTCTATATTATTCTTTTATTTCTCTGTTATTCTAATGAGTTTATTCACTTGGAATGATTGTTTACAGGCGGATGCACATCTCGAAGTAAAAGGAGAACAGACACACATAAGCTGCAGCACTAATCCAGGTAAAATTCACAACCTTTTAATTTTAGAATGAACAACTGGTATTAAAAATTGTTTCACTGAATTTTAAAACTGCAGGCACCACCACCGATTTTTTGAGTGTTCAAAATAAAGTTAAATTTTTTTTTGCTATACAACAAGCTATAAGACTTAGAAATTTGAAACTATCATGTTATGTAGAAAAAATGCAAAAAAATACGATGAAATAAAAAAAAAATAACGTTCGAAAATTAGAAATAGTACGGGTGGCAGAAATGCAACTACAGATTTGAAATTTGAAGTGATGAGAAGACCCTTATGGTTTCTGGACTTTTTTTCGAACTTTTTTTAAAGTTTTTAATTGTTTAAAAGTTTTTTCAGTTAAGAGTGCTTTAAACTGTACTGCATTGTAAGAAATTCTAGATCAAAGTACCGTAAATAGTACTAGCATCCTGTGTGCAATTATCTATTAAATAATAATCTAGAAAGTTTTAAAAATTTTTTTTTATCACAATTTATTTTTTAAAAAATGAAGAAAAACCTATATTTAATAAAAAGCATTTTAAATAATCCCTTTCCTAACAAACAAAGAAAAAAGTTCGTCCCACTCAAAAATCAAATTTCTTTACCTCGATAACGACTCTTTCTACAAATTTTTTTTTATTTAAAATAAAAAATAATATGTCTTACATTAAAAAAAAACATTTCAAATAAACCTTTCTCTTAAAAAAGAAATACGCAATACTAAAAGTATCTTTCAATAATGATTTCTCCCGTTTAGGTACCTATTTTCCAGGGGGGAAATTTTTTTCCAGGACCTTTTTTATCGTTTACCCTTCAATTACGAATTAAATTAAGATGTTTGGTTTTCGGATCATTTCAATTCATTTCAGGAAATACGCAATCACTAATCCGTTCATTTTTCATGCTACATTTTTTTACAGTGGTCAATTCTTTTTACAACAGTATTTGAAATATTTATTCATAAAAATTTTTTTTTTCAGGAAAAAGGAGCCGTCGATCTCCGAAATGTGAATGCCATTGTGCTTGCTGATAATGATGCCGCTTCAATCTCTCTCTCCATTTAATGTTTTCTTCCCATATTTTATATCCTTAATAAACTTATAAACATTTATTTTAAAGTTTATTTTTTTATTCATACCAAGTATCCCAAAAAGAGAAAAAACGCATTTAAAGAAAAACAGAAACGTGTGACTAGTTCTTTTTTTTTTTTTAATGTTTATTTTCACATTTCCTGTTAATTTGCGCTTTTAACCTGTATTTCAAAAAGTGCCTTCTCGTACTTGTACGCCTCTTCCTCTCCCAGAAAGTTTTCTTGAAAAAATTTTGTCGTTCAATCCTCTCCCCTTCAATGTTTCAAATTTTAAAAAAAGTCAATCATTATTTCGGAGAAAAGTTAAAATCTAACTTTTGAAACTGTAAGTAAAATATGTTTACTACTTAGATATAGCAAAAAGTAAAGTAAAGCGTAATATTAAAAATAGAGTAAAAATTAAAGTAAAATGTAAAATATGAAGCGAAGAGTAAAGCGTAAAGTAATGCATAAAGTATGAAGTAAAGCATAATATGTAAAGTAAAGCATAAAGTAAAAATAAAAAATAAAGTGAAGCATGAAGTATCACGTAATATAAAAAATATAGTGAAGTAAAAAAGAAAAATGTAAAGTAAAGCAAATTAAAAAGCAAAATATAAAGAAAAGTAAATTATGAAGTAAAGCAAAATAAAAAGTAAATAATAGGGTAAAACGAAAAGTATAAAGTAAGTGTACAGCAAAGTAATGAGCAAAATATAAAGTAAAGAGTAAATTTAAAGTAAAACGTAAAGTATAAAGTAAACGTATAGTAAATTAAAGCGTAAAATATAAGCTAAAGTAAATTACAAATTAAAGCAAAATAAAAATTAAAATATGAAGTAAAATGTAAAGTATAAAGCAAGTGCAAAGTAAAGCGTAAAATATAAAGTAAAGAGTAAATTTAAAGTAAAACGTATAATACGAGGGTTGTAAATTAAATAGTGGCAACTTAACTTTGAAACTCACAGAAGGGCGGGCATGTGCAAATAGCATATGGGAGCGGTGAGGTGGCGCTGTTGTCGATGTGTAGAGTGCAAAAAAAACAATCGATTTGCTTAGAAGGGTAGTTGTTGCGTGGCGTTAAAGTGAGGAGTTTCGTTTCCATCGCTCTAAAGCATGTTTTCAAAAGGTGATCAGCTGTCGTATCTTAAAATCGAGGTTGTTTGTGGCAAAAATGCAACAGAATGCTATCGTGGATTAATGGAAGCCTGTGGCGCAAATGCTTTACCGTATAGGACAGTAGCACGATGGGTTTAAGCATCTCTTCTTTTTTCGTCATTAAGCCTTTTGACAACATGCTTTAGAGCGATGGAAACGAAACTCCTCACTTTAACGCCACGCAACAAATACCCTTCTAAGCAAATCGACTGTTTTTTGCACTCTACACATCGACAACAGCTCCACCTCACCGCACCCATGCCCTATTTGCGCATGTCCGCCCTTCTGTGAGTTTCAAGGTTAAGTTGCCACTATTTAATTTACAACCCTCGTATAAAGTAAGCATACAGTAAAGTAAAGTGTAAAATTTAAAGTAAAGAGTAAATTTAAAGTAAAACGTATAATATAAAGTAAGCATACAGTAAAGTAAAGTGCAAAATTTAAAGTAAAGAGTAAATTTAAAGTAAAACATAAAGTAAAAAGCAAAGTAAATAGTAAAGAAAAAGGAAACCGTAAAACATGAAGTAAAGCAAGATATGTTTAATTAAACCAAAATATTTCTAAACCACTGAATGAAAATTTGCTTTATTCTGTCATTTGCAGTTTCACATTATCATAAAAAGGACATAAGTCATTATAAAACTTTTGGTATTGTTAATTTCGAACATTTCATCAGACGGTTGATTGGAATGTTTGTTCTCATTCACTTTCTCTGACGATGTATTCCCATATATCCTGAGATTCTTTTGATATGTGTTTCATACAGTCCTTATCAACATCAGCTCCTTCCATTCTTTTCATTACAGCCTCTTTTATTTCTCCCATACAATTCTAAAATGTAAGAAAAAATTAAATTTTTGAAAAAAAAAAAAAAAAAAAACCTAAGTCATAATAAAAATTTTCAGCCATTTTTTCATAGTCTTCGGAATTATCTTATTTTACTTTAAAGAATTTTTTTGGGAAATATTTAACCAATTTCTTAATTGTTGTTACAGACTAATAAGACAAGGCATACAATTGTTCTTGTTTTCCAGTGATGCCATCTATGGCCAAGAATTCGACTTCTGCCGCATCCATACGTCACACCCGTTTATAGGGCGGACCTATTCATACATCCATTCATTCATTCACAGATCGTTACTTTGACCTGAACCAGATACCGTTATTAAAAGAAAAGAAGTACAATTTTTCCGGGGAACTAATTCCAACCAAAATTTCTTACGAAAAAATATAGTGTTTATTTATTAGTTTTCTTTTAGGAAAATGGCAGAGAAGTTTTGTATGCCTATATAAAAATTGTAATTTTGTATAACGCGTTTTCAAAAATTCAACAAATTAAAAATATAAGGCCTTCTGTGCCTTGAGGAAGGAGTTCGCAAGAAATCTTGTACTGGAGCTCATAAAGCCTTTGCTCAGCCTCGAATCTAGATATCGTCTTCCTCTGCTGTTTTGCAGCTTTCGTGGGCCCAGAATAGACTCTTATAAAAAGGGGGCGGGGCAAGGCCGCAAAGTACCCGGTCTTAACCCGAGAATGGAGGATCTCGGAATGTAACAGAACAGTACTATTATTAGACTAAATGCTTATTGTTTGTTAAGGTACGAATCTTTAGAAAGCGTAAAATAAGCTGGAATTAAAAAAAACTTCGTATTTGTAATGAATAAGGGTAGTTTTAAAACAAATGAACATCAGAGAGTTGACATAATAAAGTAAACTCATCTACGCAGACAACGTGAATTAACAACAACAGGCTGATAAGGTTGGCGTTTCTTCGTGACCAGTAAAGTATAATTCAGAGTTTGTCCTCTAGAAACAGAACTAATTTCGTCACAATCGAGGTATTTGGTCTCACCCAACTCTCACCTATAAACCATTCCCCCTTATTTTCTTTTTTTTTTTGCAGCTTATTATTGAGATTACTATTCATTGTTATCGATTACGTCAAATGCCAATGCACATCATCTCAGTTTTTTAATGCTTCTTGCTAAAAATCCTAGCCCAGACTACAATCCGTAGACGAAAACAAACTACACTCTGTACTCTTTGCAAAAAGAATAGACATCGATTACGCAATTTTCCCTTTCTTCACACTTATTTTTCCCCACCCCGTTTCCGTGGTTACGGTAAAATCTTGAATTTTTAAGGCAGTATGTTTCAGTAAGACATTTGAATATCTTTTTCATAACCAGCGTTGAATAACCGACAATATTCTAAGCTTATGTATATCAATGTTCAACTCCGCAGCTTCGTAGTTTTGAACCCAGCCTAGAAGACAAGCGAACTCCAGTATCAAGCATTGGACAAACTAGCCTTCGTGAAGGACTTTTTGATGGAACTAACCCGCATTTTTGTTATTCCTTTAGTTATTCCAATTTCAAGGGGATTCTAACACATGATCCGTCTACCATTGAGAATATTTTACGTCAGTACTGTGGTCGGTGCGAGCCGGGAGCAGAATTCTTATCAACCATCCATCTCTGGAATTCCAACGTGAATCAATTCATTGAGTGTGAACGCTCTATTTCCTGAGCCACCGGGACTTGCGAAGAGAAAAAGCAAGATTATCCAAAACTGGGAAAATGAAATTGGAAAAAAATGTGGAGAGTGGAGAAATCACGCAGTCTTGAAACGCCTAGTCTATTTGCAAAGAGTATAGATATGTATTTTAAATCAAAATACTTGTTTAAAGTAAATGGAAAGAGGAAAATATGTGTTTCTTAGTCTTTTTTTATAGTCATTTTAAGATATATAAAATATGAGCATTTGCTTACAACGTCAAGCTCATTCTGAAGATAATTCATACTACCGTTGTAAATTGTCGTTATTAAGGAATTTACTATAGTAACATCTTAGTAAGAGAAAACAGGTTTTCTATTTCTTATGGCAGCATTTTATAATTCCTCTAAAAGCTTTTTTCCTACATTTTATGTAATCAATTTTTTTTATCAATATACATATATATCTACTATACTCCTTGTAAACAGAATACGTGCCTTAAAGTTTCATGGTTTTCCAACTCCCCACACCTTCCTAATCCTCGTTAACACGGTTTCTCCACGGCAATACATTTCAGTAGAAGCTATAATATACTGGCAATATAAAGCAAGGTTTATCGAAACCATGGTTGCGGGAAAGAGGAAAGAAAGTGTGGAGAGTTGGAAAACCGCGTAACCTTGAGACGCTTACACTACTTACGAAGAACATAGTAGGCTATTTTGGTAGCTCAAGAAAAAAAAAGATTATTTTGGACCATGATTATCATGTTCAAACTTACTAGAGCTTCTTTCATTTGTCCTTCATCTAGGTTTTCCATATGTTCCCTCAGTTCTTTCTGAAATACATAAAAAGAATATTTGATTTGAATGAGTGTGTTCTGTCCGTTGGTCAATTATACAACTTTAAGATCCAAAATTGAATGTAATTTATTCAATTTTATTCAATTATAAAATATTTTATGAATTTCTTTTCTGTTTGTATGCTTTTAAAAAGCTATTATCTATTTAAAAATGTAACTAAATTACCCCTCGTTTTCGCTCAGTTTTTGATTACAAAGAAAAATTATAAGAATTTCGATTCAAGCATTCTGTTGAGCAGTTTTATGTCATATAAATATCGTATCATTCAAGTTTAGTGGATTTCGTTTCATGTTCAAAATGAGAAGAAATTATCTCTAGAAAGATTCTGCAATATTAAATAGATGCTATTAATTAAAATTTATATTTTTAGTATGTTAACTATGTAATCTGTTTTTACCTAATTTTCTGTGTCCAAATACATGCGTGATTATTTATTAGTATCAAATATATGAATAACTGTTCAACTGATAGCGACATCGTTAACTGAAGATCTTACTAGGAAAACTGGTTTAGATAAATTTTATTGAATTTTTAGAAAAAAAAAACTGATGTATCGAAAGATACGGATATTGCTAACATATTTTTTTAAAATTATAAATTGGACTTATAAGATTGATAGATATTCAGTCAGGTTCAGTCATGAGTTGTTTGAAGTTTATACAAAGAAATAGGAAAAAAAAGTTATGTCTATTTTTTTCTTCTTACCATTTTTTGCTTTCGGTCTTCATCATTTTCTCTGAATGCATCAAGCTGTGAGAAAACATGAAATATTTGAATATTTACACATAGGTAGGAATTGAATTTACAATATATATATACCGTTATTAAAAGAAANATTTTTATATTTACAAAAATCTATTCTAGTATCTAGTATCTAAAATCTATATATACAATAGGTTTACAAAAAATTATATTATATTCTTCAATTAAATTCAGGTAAACCAACAATTTCACACATTTTACAATTAAGTTATTAAGTTCAGGAATAGAAAAGAGAACTGTGCCGATTATCTAATGAAGGCAAATGATTACAAAGAAATCTTCCTTAGATATTAGATGTTCTTCCTTAATCATAAAGTTTAGGTTGAAAGAAATTGCACTTATGTATACTCATTATTCAGTGAAGGTCAGGAATACACAAAACAAATTACTGTGGTGATTATCTAAAGCGATTATCTAACGCAGGTTAGTGAATGCAAAGAAATCTGCTTTAATTATAAAGTAAAGTTCAGGTTTACAAGAGAAAATTAGAAAATTATGCTCAATATTCAATGAAGTTCACCAAGTTTACAATAACATACATTCAATATTAAGTGAATTTCATGTTAACGAAGAAATTTATCTAAAAATCAAATGAAGTTTACTAAAAAAAAATACACTAGATTTTCAAAGAAGTTTATTATGACCAAAAATCACACTTATTATTGGATAAAGTACAGGAATGAAAACAAAATACTATGCCAATTATTAATTAAAGGTCAATGATAACTCAGAAATTAGCTTTAATTCTAACGTAAAGTTTCAGCTTATGAAACTGTACTGTATGTATGTAAACTGCATGTATGTAAACTGTACTCATTATTCAATGAAGTGTAGGTTTATAATAAACTACTTATTACCTTATTCAGGAAATTTTAGGTTTACAAAGAAATCTTGCTAGATATCTAGTGTAGTTTACGATAAAGCTACACTAGTTCAGTGAAGTTGAGGTTCAAAATTGTAATCAATACTCGAGTAAAGTACCAGGTTTGCAAAAGAAAACTACATGAAATATCAAGTTAAGTTCATGTTTACAAAAAAAGTATTGCTTGGTTAATTAAATAACGAGCGAGTTTACGAAAACTGCTGTACGAATATGAATAAGTTCATATTTGATGAAAAAATGACGAACTTAATTTTTATTAATTTGAGCTTTGAAACAAAATATTACAAAACCCGACTTTTTCAAAATATATACTTTTAATGAATAGTAAATTGAAAATTTTAGAGAAAAAAAAAACTTAATCGTTGCTTTCTTTTCTGCTTTGAGATTCTCTGTTAAATATCAGCTATTCTAAAGATATTGAGATATTCATTTTTTATCTTTAATAAGAGTTATTTGGCCTTATTTAAATAATATTTCAGATTATCCTAATGAACGGAATTAATTCTACATCAAAAAAGTATTTAACGAATTTATGCCGCGTGTGAAAAAGATAATTTCTTTCGAATGACTTTAGCATAATTCATTTGCATACAGAATAGTAAATAAGGAAAAAAAATATCCTGCGTCAATCAAAAAAACAATTGAGAGTATTTTGTAATTAAAGATTTGTTCAATTTAAGCTATTTAAATATATATGCATCGTGTTAAACTACTAACACGAATTTGTAATTAAAAAAATCATGAATAATCCTCATGGCTAGACCGACAGCAATGAAATTGTATAATTAAAAGTTCTAACACCCGAAAGTTCCATCGACTTGGTCTGAGTTGGTTTCAATATAGGAGGGTAATAAAAATACCGGAATATAAAGAAACGGAAACTTTTGAGATAAAATCGTTTTTGAATTATTATAAAGTTACTGATAAATTTAGATGCATAATTAAGAAACCTTTTTTTTTTCTTAATTTTTCTGTCCCCACCTTAATTTTCTTGCTTTAAATATTTTGAATCTTACAACTATAATATCAAAATATACTCGAAAATTTGCTTTTTTAAAAATTATGTAATATTTTAGAAATAAAATGTGTTAAAATTAACATTAAAATATTTCTAAAATCAAATTTTTTTAACTTTTTTTGTTAAAAATTGTATTAAAAAAATGCTGCACTTAAGAGTAATTATCTTAAATAATACACTCCCTTGCTACTTTTATACTTTTTCATAATAATTGCTTTTAATTTTTTTCGTTAAAAATCAAAATGCAAATAAAAAAAAACTTGGTACATTAAAACTTTTTTTCCTTTTGTTGTTAAACTATTAAAACGTGTGAATAAATAAACAAGTTTTGAATAAATATATTATTTGGGCCTTTTTAATTATTGAAAGAGTAATGAGTTTTTTGCAAAAGTAAAAAGATGACAGTGGGAACCATTGACTTTAAAAGGTAAAAACCTTAATGGGAGTTTTCTTCAATCAATTCCTTTAATTTTGTATGTGTTATTCTTACAGCAATTGAATGAGTTGAATGAAATTTTTTTTATAAATAAAAATAATACTAAAAATAATGCGAATAGTGAAATTTTTTTATACATAAAAATGTAGCAATATCATCAAAACGTTACAAAATTTAAACCACTTTTGAAGTTGTTTTATCATCAGGAATGATACAACATCATTACATACTAACAATTTTTTAAATTTTTTTAAATAAAAATTGTGAAAACAAGTTTATGAACTTAAAATCTATTTTGAAATTTCTGGTGAACAAAAATGGTGCAATATCACAGCAACTTTATAAATTCAAAATCACAAGTAAAAATTTCATGAAAAAAAAACGATACTACCTTATGAAATTTAAAACCACTTTTACATCAAAATAATTACTTTGAAAAAAAATTCTACTTACACCACATTTTTTGATACATTCGGGAGCTGCACCTTCATCCATCATATCTGCATAAATATTAATAAGGTAATAAAATAATATAAAAATTTTATAACTACATTTCTTACTTGGACTCATAAAAGTAAAATAAATTATTAATTTATCAGATCTAGAACAAAACACGAAGTTTACATCAGTTTTGAAAGACGTGGAGGAAATTTTCGTGGTGAATTTTTTTTAATTATAAACACTGAAGAGCCTTACCGTTATCCGTTTTATGTCTGGCAAAATTATTATATAATTTTTACGTTCCTATTCCACTTGAAATTTCTTTTAATTTCAGTTATATATCATATCATAAGTAATAAGTTTGTTAAATCAATATCTATCTATCTATCTATCTATCCATCTATCTATCTGTCTATCTATCTATCTATCTATATATATATACAATAAGTCCTATTCGACTGTGAAATTACAATTAATTTCGCTTCCAGCAATCAAAAAGGGAAGAATCCAAGAAATCCAGGAATCAAGAAAATGTAAGTACTCTAGAAAGGCGGAAAATCATCGTAAATTTCGTGTCTATTAATTATATCCAAATATATATAAAAATTCGAATGAAGGTGCCGCTGGATCCTATAAAATCGTTGCGAAAGTGCGTTGCTTATACCTGCCAATCAGAAATGAGAACGATAATTAATCAGAAATTATTGTTACTTTAATGAACTTTTTCAAATGCAAGCTGTAAATATCTATATAACACGAAAACAGAAGGGTGTATAATACAGTTNTATATATAAATATATATAAAAATTCGAATGATGGTGCCGCTGAATTCTATAAAATCGTTGCGAAAGTGCGTTGCTTATACCTGCCAATCAGAAATGAGAACGATAATTAATCAGAAATTATTGTTTCTTTAATGAACTTTTTCAAATGCGAGCTATAAATATCTGTATAACACGAAAACAGAAGGGTGTATAATACAGTTATTCATTGTATTGTCGGTGCATTTTTCTCAGGCTGAAAATCGTTTGGTCGGATCCAGTTTTCCCTCATTTTTATATATTTTTGGGAGTCATTAGGGTAAAACTAATAAAAGTCATAAAGATAGTCATAAAGTCATCTTTCCCTATAAAATATTTTTCTGTCCCTAATTTATACCTGTAATATTTATTTCTCTTAATTTACTCGTACGTTTTTAATATTGATTGTTTTCTAAATTAAGAGTTAGAAACTAAAAGCTTTGAGTGCAGTTCAGTGATATTACTTAAATACGCTTATTGGCATTATCTCTCTGGATATCACTTCATCCAGTCATGCTCATCTAAAGTATTCATAAAATTTATCTGAATCCAGTCGTACTCATCTAAAGTATTCAAAATAAATCTGAATCCAGTCATACTCATCTAAAGTATTCATAAAATTTATCTGAATCCAGTCATACTCATCTAAACTATTCATAAAATATATCTGAATACAATCATACTCATCTAAAGTATTCATAAAATTTATCTGAATCCAGTCGTACTCATCTAAAGTATTCATAAAATTTATCTGACTTTCAAAATTTTCTTTTCTTAGCAATATTTCAAACAGAAAATAACTTAACACTATGCATTAACTCTCACAATTTTTATGTTGTTATTCGAATCGCAATAAGAACTCGAACTTCGTTGCCATTCTTAAAAAAAGTAAATACAAGCATTAGAAAATAAAGAATTTATACAATTATTAATAACGACAGACATATATTTATTTAAATCAGTGTCTAAGCTCTTTAATTGCTTTACAACAAATTACTTTGCTGTGCTATTTTAAATTTCCATTAAAGAGAATTCATTTAAAATTTAAAATATTCTATCAGCTTCATGCACAATGTGATGCATGTGCAAATTGTATTTAATATGTATCAGCCCGTTTGATAAGTGAAAATGTTAAATTACGATTGTACACTCACTAAATTTATTATGACTCAATAATTTTAATTTTAAAAGTTATTTTAAAAAGTGATTGATAAGCAAAAATACTTATGTTCACTAATAGATTTTTATAGAATCATCGGGGAAAAGTTTGGACGAGGGAAGTGGACTATTTTACGCCAATAAATAACAATCATTGTGAAGCAATCATCGGTGTTGGTGAATCCTCTAGTTTGAGAATAAAATTATGAGGAGTTCTGCTAATATAGGTGAAGAAACGTTTGAAATAATGATTGTTATGATGCATGAAACTTCAGCTAAGACTAGAGTACTCATCTCAGTGGTTTCTAATTTCTTAGTGGCTTGGGAACCCCATTTAACCCTTTTTTTTATCGTTGGATCCCTCTATTTCATGAATGAAGTTAATTACCGATTGTGAACACATTGAGCAACGAAAGACCACAATTTAATTTAAAAAAAATAACAATGCATTTCATAAAAAAACTTCGCCATTAATTTCCATGTTAGGGAAATTATTAGGGAATTCATTAGGGAAAAATCCAACTTTCGTTTTCTTGAGAAAAAGGGAGAAGCGTATAGGGAAAAGTAGAGGTGCTTTCAGGTGCCATATAGAATAACACAGGGCTCGAAAAAACTCAGAAATTTTACCTGTCCCCGAGGACGGCTTGTCTAACAATGTACCCGTCCTCCTTTGAAACTAACCCGTCGCTTCTAAACAAATAAAAATATAATTTTCGCTTATTTATTACAAACGTTTATATAAATTGCACAATGAATTAGTAGTTACTAGGATTACATTATACAGTAATAAAAAAAATACTAGGTTACTAATAGTAAAACCAAGTATTTCTATTATGAAATAATTTATTTCTTTGATGAAATAATTTAAATAACAAAGGTTAAGTTATCTGTCAATTATCATGTCAATNTATCTGAATCCAGTCATACTCATCTAAAGTATTCATAAAATATATCTGAATCCAGTCGTACTCATCTAAAGTATTTATAAAATTTATCTGAATCCAGTCGTACTCATCTAAAGTATTCAAAAAATTTATCTGAATCCAGTCGTACTCATCTAAAGTAGTTATAAAATTTATCTGAATACTGTCGTACTCATCGAAAGTATTCATAAAATTTATCTGACTTCTTAAATTTTCTTTTTTTAACTATATTTCTAACAGAAAATAACTTAACACAATGCATTAACTTTCACAATTTTTATGTTGTTATTCGAATCGTAATAAGAACTCGAACTTCGTTGCCATTCTAAAAAAAAGTAAATACAAGCATTAGAAAATAAAGAATTTATACAATTATTAATGACGACAGACATATACTTGTTTAAATCAGAGTCTAAACTCTTTAATTGCTTTACAACTGTTATTTTTTTTAATGCAAATTACTTTGCTGTGCTATTTTAAATTTCCATTAACGAGAATTCATTTAAAATTTAAAATATTCTACCTGCTTCATGCACAATGTGATGCATGTGCAAATATGTATCAGCCCGTTTGATAAGTGAAAATGTTAAATTACGATTGTGCGCCCACTAAATTTATTATGACTCAATAGCTTTAATTTTAAAAGTTATTTTAAAAAGTGATTGATAAGCAAAAATACTTATGTTCACTAATAGATGTTATAGAATCATCGGGGAAAAGTTTGGACGTGGGAAGTGGGGGTGAATAATTCCACTTTAAGTGAAAAATTCCAACATTCGTAGAAACAACTATTTTATGCCAATAAATAACAGTCATTGTGAAACAATTATCGGGATTGGTGAACCCCCTAGCATGACGATAAAATGATGATGAGTTGTGCTAATATAGATCAAGAAACGATTGAAATGCTGATTGTTATGATGCATGGAACTCCAGCTGAGACTAGAGTACTCATCTCCGTGGTTTCCAATTTCTATGTGGCTTGGGGACCTTACTCAATCCTCTTTTTTTCTTTGAACCCCTATATTTTATGAATGAAGTTCATTACCGATTGTGAACACATTAAGTAACAGGAGATCCCCATTTATTTGAAAAATTTTATTTTTATTATTGGTGTGGAAAAGGAAATGTTTTCGTCATTTTATGAATTGCTAGTCTTAAAATTAGGTTTTACGTCAGGCTGTTGAATGTACAGGTCTGGAGCGGGATCTAGTCTAGTTTTGAATTTGGTTGTGGCGTATACACAAACTAAAAATAAATGCTCTAGAATATAGGTTTACTTAAAATTCGTTTCATCTTCTGGATGAAAAGGGAGAAGCGCACAGGAAAAAGTGGAGGTGTTTTCAGGCGCCATATGTAATAGCATAACAATGTATTTCATAAAAAAACTTCGGTATTAATTTCCATGTTAGAGATTCATAAGGAGAAAATCCAACTTTCGTTTTTCCGAGAAAAAGGGAAAACCGTATAGGTAAAAGTAGGTGTGTTTTCGGGTGTCATATATAATAACATAACAATACATTTTATAAAAAAAAAACTTCCATATTAATTTCCATGTTAGAGATTTATTAGGGAAAATTCCAATTTATTTAATATTATAAGTTAGAGTTAATCATTTAATGTAGTTGCCCTCGTAATTTATTTTTATAATTACTGAAATGAGACTGAACTGTCATCAAAAGTTTCTTATAAAGAGTTTATGATTAATTTACTTGTATTTTCCAAAACGTTTATCGAAAAAATTTAAAACTTTTGCCTTTTAACTTTTAACAATCCAACGTCAGATGACTCGTTTTACTTTAACCTTTACAAAGTACGAATGCGTTAGCCTCATAAAGAAATAATTATAAAAATTAATAAATTTACCCACTCGTTCTATTATTCACTTACCATGCACTTCCATTCTCAGTTGATCCATGGTTCCTTCGCATTCCTCTTTTATTTCACAAGATGCATAGTGAACGCACATCAGAGCAAACAGAAACAGCAGAGAGTACGACTTCATTTTTTGCTTCGATTATAGTTTATCCTAGACTAACAAGTAAATTACTTTATATATACATAGGTTTTATTCAAGTTAACCTTTCATGTAATTCTTCTTTTTGTTCGTATGTTTATTTAGTCCCCATGAGGCGAGCATGTGAAAGTATGAACAATAATGCTTTGCATGCTTACAAGGTTCTTATTTGCCTAAGCACAACATTTGCTTAGGAATTTTTTTAAATAAAATAAATGCTTCAATCCTTTCTTTTGTGTACATTATATACATATTTTTATAAGCAAACTGTTGTAGAACGAAGCTGGGAATAATAATTTTTATGTTTTGGAAGTAAACAAAGTTCGATTTGCGTGCAGATTAGGCGACCTTTCGAATATGTGACATTAATAAAAGGTGCAATGAAAGGATAAAAAGGTCTTTTTCTATAGAACGGGAAAAGATGAAAATTAAATAAACAAAAATGGATACTTTTAAATGTGTATCACGTTTCATTACGGAAGTGTGATCGACAGGAAATTTTTAATAATTTTAAATTTTGTCATCTAAAATATTGGGTAAAAAATTATTTCGGTTATTTAATGTGGAATAAAATTCAGTTTATTTTCAATACAAAAAATGATATTTAATCTGACAAATACCTTCTGTTCTGTATCATGATTTTTCTGGTAAATTCATGATCCAGTGCTCGAAGAATTTCTGGTCGATATCACCAAAAAACTCAACCAAATTCGATTTCATATCATCTCTATTACTGAACTTATTTGGGAAGTGATGTCCCATCCTCGATTATGGGATAATTGAAATAATTATGACAAAAAATGAGCTTTTACCTGTCACATATCTTCTGTTCTGTGCAGAGACCTTTTGCCATCTTTCAAGTAATTTTATGATTCCGTGCTCGTAGAATTTCTGGTTCAGATCATCGTTATTTCTGAGCTTAATTGGGAAGTGATGTCCCATCCTCGATTATGGGATAATTGAAATAATTATGACAAAAAATGAGCTTTTACATGTCACACATCTTCTGTTCTGTACAAAGATCTTTTGCCATTTGTCTGGTAATTTTTTCGTTTCCTTTGTAATTTGGAACAATTTTTTTAAATTTGTTTATTTCCCACAACTGTTTATTATTTTTTTTAGGTGGAAAAGGGAGTTTTTTGTGGGCTTTTGCAATACCTGTTTTTTGTGTGTTTTGTTTGCATTATCACTACCCACACACTTGAAACTTTTACATAAAAATGATGCAAAAAGTGGTATTGTCATTCTCATGTTCGCAAAAATTGTATATACAGCGAATTTTCACTTATGCACCGGCCTAAGGGACCAACAGAAAAAAGTACATAAGTAAAAGAGACGCATAAGTGTGAAACTTTCGAAATTCTAAAGCGCCATATAAAGTGCAATGACAGAATGAATAATAATGTTTCTAAAGATTAAATTGTAATAAAATAATATTGTTAACTAATGCTTCTTATGGTATTTACAACAACTAAACAAAGATAAAAATATTATAAAATACCAAAAAACAAAAAAGAATTTACGAATAAAATTGGATGTTTTTTCTGAGAGTAATTTGTAAAATAGTTTTTTCAAATTCATACACCTAGGAAAAGGAAGTTTCAGTAGTTGAATTAAACAGCAAATAATAACTAATGATGTATGAAGCTTCTAGCACTTTCGTATGATATGTAGGAACTTTTTAATCATCTTCGTCATTATCGTCATCTACGTCATCATCAGCTTTTTCAATAGCGATGTTTGCCTTTCGTCATCATTAAGATCGACATCCCAATTTTCTTCACCTTCGTTAATTTGATTACTACATTTAGTTTCACCAGAAAATAGAAATCCTTCCAGGTTTTTGAAGCAATTCCTTGTTCTAAATTATCCAATACTTTTCTATGTATCGTATATTAATTTTCTATTGCATGAAGAGTTAAAATTTTTACATCGGTTGCTGCTGATTTACCTCTTTCTAGTTTGGCTCAGCAACAACGAATCGAGGTTTTCCTGTTGTGCACTATTAAGCAACGTATTATACCTAAATCCAAAGAGTGAGCAGTTATGGCTCAGAAAATAGAGCGTTCGCCTTCTCATGAGGTGAACCTTGTTCGAATCCCAGCAATGGCTGATCGATATGAATTCGTTTCCAGCTTGCACCAACCACTGTACTGTCGTAAATTATCCTCAGTGGTTGACGGATTATGGGGGAGTTTTTCGTGGTTTTCCTCTCTATGTTCCATTAAAAAGTCCGCCACGAAGGCAAGTTTCTCCCAATACTTGATCCAGGAGTTCCCTTGTCTTCTCGATTGGGTTAAAAATTACAAAGTTATGGAGTTGACCATTGGTAGACGTAAACTCAAAATTGAGTTCAACGACTTGGGTTTTGGTTGTTCAACGACGGTTATAAATAAATAAATGATTAAATAGAAAAATCAGCTGAAACCACGTGTTTTTTTGTTTATAGTTATGCTTATGAAACCTCTTTCTATAAAAGTAATTAACGTAAAGTTAGAAGTAAATGGTACAGAAAATATGTGCTGAAGTGTAAATTCATCAAGAAGATTGCTTGACTGCGGCACATTTTGATTATCACGCATTAGCCAAGATCAATTAATAATCATTATTTTCAGAGATTGTGAGTATAGTTAATTTTGATTTTGATGAACTAACCCTATTTCTTACTTTTTTTTACTGTTTAAGAAACCGAGACGCAAGACTGCAAAAAAAGCGTGTAGCGGTAGTCTTTCTAAAGCTGCTTCCCTAAAAGAAATGGATTGTTCCATAAATTTTGCAGTGGAAAGGTAAGGAATTCATGTAATCAGTTTTTTGCAGCGAATACAGCAGACAGACAGAATTTTTTTTCGATGCCATAATTTGTTGAACTAAAATAAAATATTTCCTTTTAATAAAAAAATGCATTCCGACGCTCCGATTAAGTCGCAATTTGCATACATTTTTACTCAATATTATTATATTAATTAATCTTTCTGCAGTAAATGGGATAATATTTTATGTCTGAAAAAACAGCACTTTATTAGGAGACACACTGTTTGCTAACACACTGAAGCCTTTCCGTAGTCAGTGGTTAAACCAACTGTGCCCCGAAGCCTCATAATGGAAAAACTAAATAAGAAAATGCAATACCAAAATGCAATATTGATAAGAAAGTGCAGTACCAAATGCAATTCAAATATTGAAATAAAGATGAATGTCTAATGATACACACAAAACGCAAGTCAAAAGTACACTGAGGTCACGTCTACATATAAGAAATATAAAGATAGAGTTACAATTAGTATAACCAAATAAAATATAAATGGCCAGATCTTTACAAATTTAATAGAATGATTTTTATAATTTTTATCTACATCGAAAAATCTCGCCAAATTGGCGATCTTTAAATAAATTTAATAACTTTTAGAATATTCAAGTTGCTCATTCGTTCTAAAGTACAGATAATATTTCACTGCAAGCTCAAAATCCTCTTTTACTTCTACTGCTAGGCACATAAACTGTAGCTTTTTATTTTCTTGGCGATAGAGCTTCGAAAAACTATGTTATTGGTTGATTTTTCGATTGATTCAATTTATAATTTACGCGTGAATTTATACTTTAAATATTTATTTCAGAAAATTCAATTTCAATAAAAAAGTAAGAGCTAAGATCACAAAAAATAATAATATACAACTCATGATTTTCAAAACTTTAATTTTGTATTTAATCTTCTAGCTCGTCGTAGTACTTGGTGTACAGTGCACAAAGTTAAAAAAAAACAATCCTTAATAACTTTTAATTTAATGATCGGATCTTCTGGCTCTGGAACTCTTTCTTAATGGTTGGAGAGAGTGACCTCAAATATGCTAATGAATTACGATATTTTAAGTTACGAAATTAAACACAAAAACGTACTTCTCTAAATAAACATGCCTTTTTTTCGTCGGATTCCGATTTCTGACCTCCAAAAGAGGGGGAGGGGGTAGCTGCAGTCTGAGATGTATATTCCCAATTGTTTGGTCATTACAGCGTTCCAAAATTTGTACCCCTTAATTTTAATTTTACTTTTTGCGTGTTTCGCCTTATTTCGAAATTTTTTTTAAGCGAATTTAAAACTTTTTCCACACAATTACAAACTTCATCTATCGAATGATAAATCCATGCAAACAATAACTTTCAATGCATATCTTTCATTATTTTTAGAAATATTAGTCGGAAAACTTTATAAAGGTAAGGTATGCGATTTTTTTCATAATTTAATTTATGAATAAAATTTTGCATGGCAAAATACAAATTTTAAGCAAAATAAGTCAAATAGTTCCAGAGAAATCGAGTTATTAAAACACAACTTTTTTGAAATTCGATTTTTTAGAAACTATTCGATCGATTTTAATCGATTTAGTATTTTCCCATGTATAATTATATTCGTTAAAATGAAGTAAAAAATTGTATACTTTACAATTTAAAATTCTTCGACTAATATTAAATAAAACAATAAGAAATAATACATATTTACTAAAAAGTATATTTTGCATGGAATTATCTTTGGATAAATAAATTTTATATTTGCGTGCAAAAATGTTTCAATTCGCTGCAAAAGTTCTCGAGATATAGCGAAAGTAAAATACACAGAAAGTAAAATTAACATTAAGGGGTCTAAACTTTCGATCGCCCTCCTGAACAAAATACAGTCGAACTCGTTTATAACGAGCACAAAGGGACCGTAACATGTACTCGTTAAATCCGAGTGATCGTAATAAACGGGTACTTAAGGCAGGCGTGCAACCAGAAGAGGGTTGGGAGGTCAAATTATTGAGTTTACATAAAATTTAATTAATACTTACTTTAATTAATTTAATTAAATACTTTTCTTAATTTAATGACAACTATCCCCCCCCCCCCAACCAGCAAAAAATTTCTAGTTGCGCTACAGTCTTTAAGGAAAGAAGCAATAAACGGAAGAAAAAATAAAGGAAAAGATTCTTACCAAAACGTTCATTTTTTTNTTTCTAGCATTAACTAATTTATTATACACATTTAGTTGAATTTAAGTGAGTAACTGCAGTATTTGATAATTTATTTTGCCATTATGTTTCTCATTTAGCTAATGTTTTTATTTTTTCACCATGAAAAATCTAAATAGCTAATATACTTTTTTTTTAAAGATAATAAGAACATTGA